CGTCTCGATGTTTAGCGAGTAATTCCTTTGCTGTAGGTTCAGCAGGTACAATTTCAAAAAGATTATTTATCTGGAAAGTGTCCAACAAGCAAAAGAGAGAAGAAAGAAGGTTAAACCGATTCTTTTGCAAACATAAAACTCGATATTTTCATGACTTGAAGAAAGACAAATCGCTAGAATATAAAACATGGAAAAACTATCTGACTGGATGAAACAAAAACGCCCATCTGCACAGCCAAAAATGTAAACTCATGTGTTAGATTCCTTCACTTTCTCTGCTTCCTTTAAAGTTGGAAGGAGATAAGTATACGTGCCTGGACGGCTGGACCTCACACGATAGATTCTCAGATTAAACCTCAGACGGTATAATCCTCTGATCGAACCATATTGGAAAAGATAATCACCAAATAAATAGTTTGCAAAGGTGTTAGATTGAACCTGGTGTAAGAGATTCCTATGTGTAAGCATAACGCCTTTTGGATTTCCCGTGGTTCCACTGGTATACATAATTGCTGCTGTATCATCAGGGTTGATGAATTCATATTCATACTTCCCTGCAATAACTCATTCAACTGTCACCATGAGTAGCATTTCACAGAAGGAATTGTATACTATAAATTTTGTTTCTTTTAGTGCATGTACCTACCATCGTCATCTGATCCTAATGGATTCCTGAGTTTTTCCCGCCGAAAATTTATAATCTCCGTGTAGCTGTAAACAGGAGACCTAATCCCCTCCATAACCAATGATGATTTCTCACCCCAGAGAAGAATTACAAATCTCGGAGATACCTTCGTAGAAAATTTCTTTGAAATGCGGTTGAAAAACTCGGGATTATCCACAACAAGGGCTACACTGCAATATAAGATCACTGAATGTCACTGTCTCCAAATTCCTCATATTTGACACAAATAACTGGAGAGACACAGGGAAAGGAAATGTTTGGCAAACCTTTCAGAATGGCTATATATCTGCAATAACTCTTCAACAGAGGACCTCGATCCCCTAACAACATTCACTGCTCCAGTGGCCATGATACCTGGCATAAATCAATCAAGAGTACGTAAAGATACCGAATACCTGCGGACAAAACGAAGAGAAAAAATGAAGATTCAAGCAAAGTTATCAAACATACTGCACTAAAGATACCATTTAGGTGTTTCGATGGTAAAATGCGTTTAGTCGTAAGAATATCTTGAGAGATAGCTCTTTCTTGCTCACTAGAATGGAAATTCCTCAGATGGTGGATGCGGTGGTTACAGTATTTGTATTTTGTAGGGTAAGCACCGAACAAGAGAACGTCAAGGATAGTTGTTTGTTCTACATACCTTGATCTGTAACAAGCCATCTGCAGGAGTTATCGGCAAAAAGAGCAATTTTCTCATCAGGTTTCACTCCAACAATTCGTAAACCCTCAGCAAAGTCCAAAATTTCTTGTTCTAACTGCAATTCAAGATAAGTGAGATGAAGATCTACCGTCGCTCACCTATAAATCTTGTGTAGCCCAAAACAATGATGGACAGAATCTATTAACTCGGTTATCTAAAGTTTATAAGAAAAAACTATATTGCAGAATAGAGAATTCAGTGCTTGCCTCACTACAACTATGCAGAAGAAGAATACCCTAAGTGCTTGCTTTGATATAATGACACTTATAAGAAATCTCCCACCATTGATCGAGTGGCTAAGGGAGAGAAAAAGTGGCTCAAAGCAGAGATTTATGGTTCTCCCTTCATACACTTCTTTGCAGGTGAAACAAGAGATGAAGCACCATTTTTATAAAACAAGAATACCTGTTTGTATGTAAGGTTAGAAGGTGGGTCATGATAAGGATCCACCAATGCAACTCGATCACCGTACTTTTCCGCAGATGATCTCCAAATATCGGGAACGGCCTTCCATTCACTTGAGGACAAAGCAACGCCGCCCGATAAAGCAGACCTTTCTAGCAACGGTGAACACCGCCTTACCTCCTTTTCCTGAATCTATACAAACGATACCGACACAGTGATGTTACAACAGTTTATGACCTTCGTGCGGATATCAAAAGTCTAAACAATATAGAGATTCAATAATAAGAAACTTTATGCATATATCAATGGCACAACATAACACAAAACTGGAATGAAACTTGTATACAAACTCCGGATCAAATGGAAAGATCAACAAATACATATACACTATGCATCAAACTGAAAACATAAGTTATGACTTAGCAAGTATATCCTAAAGTAATCCTCAGACACAGTGCCTTAGCCAACTCGAACAACACCAAACTCAATCATCACTTGAACATGTAAACCACTACTCACCTACCTCTGATTCTAGTTGATCATTTCTGGGCGAAAATCATAATCTTTCGATAAAGGAGGAATGATTGCTGAAATTTTCCGGGACAAGAATCGCCAGAAACAAAGAACAAGATCCACAAACCGGGGAAAAACTAGCATACAGCCTTAACACGGAATCAAACAAGAGGATGAAGAATCACAAAACCAGAAATCTCTCGAGCGATCAATACAAAACTCGCCTTGGAGTCGCAGTGAATCCGAAATCTCCGATACGAAGATATTCCAAATCCGGGACGAAAACCCCTGCAGCCCAAGGACCTTCTGAAGCCGAAACCACGAAATTCACCAGAAGAAGAGGAGTAAGAAACGAGGGTCGCTGATCCGAGAGATGAGGACGCCATGGACGAAGCACGATACTGGGAGGAAGAGACGAGGAACAAGGGATTATCGGCGTTCAGATGAACTTGCATCGTTTAGGGCAGGTGAGACCAGGAAACGGAAAGAGAGATCTCGAAGCAAGTAATTGGCAAAAGGACAGGAACATATCGTTGTCCGGAGATTATAATATCGCAGGAAAAGGAGGATTTGTAAGTGTAGCAGCGGAAGCATGAGGACGAAGGAGAGAGAAAGTGAAATACTGATTCTATTAATTAAATCTATGTGATCATTTTCCTTTCGGCTTTTGCCCATAAAAATGTTTGTTAAATAAATTTAATGCCACGCTACCATAGAATAAATAAAATCTTGGTTACAACTTCATATTTAATTATATAAAACAAAAATAGTCTCGGGAGTTGAAACAGAGACTAAAAGTTTGGGTAGTTGAATTTATAAAATTAATCCGGCTATAAAAATTACAAATTTAATTTATATAGCGTAAATTTTTTTAATTTACAGAGTTAATTGAAACGAACATCGAATGGTAATTTTTTTTGGTAAAAAAATTGGTAAAATGGATTTTTTTTTTTGTTTATAAATTCAACGCAACTAATTCTCCAATCACTCACATCCAAAGCCGACAAAAACATTGAATGCAAACATTGTCAGGAAAATATATATATATTTATAGTGGCGGACTCGTGTTTGATGACAATTGGGGCCTTTGCCAACTACTTAAATTAAAAAAAAAATTAATTTCCTTTATAAATCTTATAAATTTGTAAATAAAAATTGAAATGCTCTCATGTTAAAACGTTAAAATTATAATTTACCCCTTATTAAATATAATCCTAGGTTTTCATCAAAAAAATATAATCCTAGGTCCAACACTGTATATATATATATACACATTGGTTCATGTTGATTTTTGGTCCATGAAAGTCAATTATATTACTGACCTCTTCTTTATATTTCTTGCAAAAGTAATTAACAGAGAACGGGGAATCTTAGATGGGAAGATTATATAATAAAATTTCACGAATTATTATAATCTCTTTCACATTGCAAAACAAATAACTTTAAAAAGGGCAACAGTCATTAAGAATATATATATATATATATATATATATATATATATATATATATTTGACTTAGACTAATTCAGCTCCCGTCATCTTCAAAGAAGAAATCTTCACAGAGTAACACTCGGGAACTTGCAGCGGTCATTTCCTGAAAAAAATAAAATAAAATAAACAATTGTTACAAAAAAATAAATAAATAAGTAAACAATTATGCAACATTTACAATTAATTAGAGATTATTATAATTAGGGATGGAGTTTCGTTCAATCTCTCGAAGCATTGAACTGAAAAATTCGATACCATTTCCAAATTAAATGGTAAAAAAATATCGTTAATGTTTTTAAAAAAACTGAAAACTCGACCAAATCGAAAATTAAATAAATATATATATAATAAAAATGAAAGATAACCGAACCGAATGGGATCCCAACCGTCCACCCGTAATTATAATTATAGTTTAGCATATTCCAGAAATGCCCTAAGTGTGTTTTCTTCTTTCTAACGTTACTTCTGATGCAAGCAAACAATTAGGGTTTTGAAAGAAGAAAAAGACGCACCGGGGTTGGTCGTGGTCTCACGCGCCAGGCCATCGAAGTAACACCTTGCGTTCTGGCTCCTGAACTGAGCCCAGTACGAGCTAAACGCGTAACTTGCGTGCCAAGTAACCGATACCGGCTCGTAACATTCCCTCCCCGGCGCCAAAGCCTGACACGTGTCATTGCTTCTGCCGCAAGCAAACCTCAACGCCTCTCCTAGCGCCGCCATGTCAGCCCCTTCGTTGGCCACGCACCAGACGTTGCCCTTGTACGGAACGTTGTTGTCCGGCGCAGGCAATGGACCGTAACCGGAAACCTGTTTCTTACCGGTAAAGTCAACTTCATAGACCGGTGTACCGCTCGGACGTAGGATTCCCCAGTGCCTCTCGGTTCCTGGACCAGGTTTCCGGTTTTCGTCAAACAGGGAGAACACGAACGTCGGTATGGATAAACCGGGCCTAGCCGGTGTACCGACCGGCGGGTTAGCTGTCATTCTCTTGATCAGATTCCGGTTATACGTCGCCGCGTTATGAACACTGGCTCCGATTTCGTCGATATCACCCGAATTAGGCCACCCGGTTTCCGAGATCGCGAGACGAATATCTGGGTACCCGAGGCTAGACATCGCGGAGATAACCGAATCGAGCATCTGGTCAAGCAAATTGGTGTAAACCAGACCGGTTTTCGGGTCGGTATAAGTGGTGTTCCCTTCGAAAAGAGCGAAATCCAAACCGGTGTTAACCGGATCGCTCGACCAAGGAAAGTACGGATAGGCATCGATGAAGAAGAAGGAATTCGTGCCATTGAGGAACTTGAGCAACGGTAACATCACCGGACCGGCGATATCTTCCCGGAAAGTTCCACTGGACGGAGGAAACGTCGACTGAAGAACGTCCATGGCGAGAGGAGTACCGACCTTAATGTTACGAATCCCTTGTGCCCTAAGCGAGTTGACAAGCTTCCGCATGGCGGGGACGAGGTTTCTCCACACCTCTCTGTCCTGATCGGTGCTGTAGCTCAGGACCTCGTTCCCGACGAGGACGAATCGGATAAGGGTCTGAGGGTAATAAGGCAAGACGTTGGTCTTGACCCAGTTGTCGGCGGCGGTCTGATCGGAGCCGATGGAGATGACCTGGTGGTTAGGGACCATGATGGTGACGTAAAGATTGGTCTGAGAGAGTAGGGTTAGGGTTTCAGGGTCTGCGTCGTAGAGCTTGACGTGACCAGCTTTGACGGATTTGATGAGGTTGATGGATTGGTAAGGAGATGGGAGGTTGTTTCCTTGTCTGCCATAGTTGACACCGATCTTGCTCAGAAACTTCAGCTCCGTGTTTCTCTGGGCGTTCCTCTGGTTACGAATCGCAAAGCAGCATGATCCTGTAATAAATCAGACACTTATTGTCAGATTTCTGGTTATGTAAACGCCATTGAAGTTCAAAAACTCAAAAAAAAAAAAGGAATCATGCATTCGTATTTCATGTACGGCTTACTTGAAAGAGAAAGGAGACAGAAGAGAAAGACAGAACCAAGAAGAGACATTTTTTTTGTTTGAGCTTTTTTTTTTGAATATGGATTTGGATGTGGGGAATGGGTGAAGATTTTGTGGGTATTTAAAAGGAATCTCGGTGATGGGGTTTTGAGTGTTGGGATTTAGGTATATTATTCGTTCATGCAAGAACTGGTGAAGATTTTCTTGGATCCACACCCCCAATGTTCTTTTGATGCCCCTTTTCATAAATTGGCTGAGACAAAGATTGGTTGGTCGGATTAGTACAGATTATGCCTACATGTATATGTATACGTGTATGTATGTACATGTGTATGCGTATTTGCATATGCATGTGACAATAAATAACTAAATAAAAAATACACAAGATAAGAAACTTATCACACACGTGGGAAAATCCACGCTAGACAAAGAGTAATCCACTTCATGATCATCATTCATCATCACCTTCCTCGTCGTCCTCGGCGCCGGTGCCGGTGAGAACGTGCCATTCGAGTCAGCTCAGCTCGAGGTTGGTATTCCATTTCGGTGAATTTCATTCATATCCATGGCTTTGGCGATTGGGGGTTTCTGGGCAGAAAGGTCGTAGATTCGGAATAAATCGGAATGTTAGGGATTGGGTTTGTGGTTTTGGCTGTGCATTACGAAATGGAAACCCTAACCCCAAAGCCATTGATCCAATAGGTTCGTGATTATGTTGATTTCTTCAGTGATTTCAAGTGAGAGAGAACATTGAAAGAGCGTACTCATGTAATTGAGTTAGTATCGTTTGTTAACCTGGGTTGGAATCATACGTTTGTTCTTCGTTTGCCTTCTGTCGATGACTAGGAATCGGGCTGTTAGATACCGAAAACACAATGGCACGGCACGACCCAGATACTCTACAGCGGAATTTCCCCTTTGAAAAATGGTGAAAGCTTAACTCTTGAAAGAGAAATTCTTACAAGTTTTCAGTGTCTTTGGGCAAATGCCCTTCTGCTGTTTCTTGTCTGAGAGCGAGCATTTTTCCTTAGTTGTCAGTTCACTTCATGTAATGCCTGATCTTTATTGTAGCCCATCTGCTAAGGATCATTTAGGTAATGGTGTATGATAAAATCCAGTTGAAATCATCAAAAAGGGTAGCGAGAAACCAGGAGCTAATGTCTAGTGAGCAAAGATCTGAATCTTTTGGTAAAACCCTATCCTCAAGATCAAGACTTGTAATGTTTTTTTGTAAGGAAACCAGACCCCAACCCCTTTGATGATTCAAGGAAAGGCAAAATCTCTCTGTTCTTGATTATCCTGTTTGGTTGAACGAAACCGATTTATCGATATTTCTCCTTTCTGCCTACCTTTAGGCACTATCGAGTTTATCCGACTAAGCTCGGGTATTTTTTAATCTCATTTAAGGTTGGCATTGTACCGGCTAACGCTAAATGGGAGAAGCTCTATCGGATTGTTACTTAAAAATGAGGTCCGAGAGCGTATTTATATGCTTTCGAGCAATATTTTTCCCGGCTGGAGGAAATGTGGCAGCCAATTTGATGGCATTCGAGGTCTGGGAGATGGGAGAAGACAGAGAAATGGCAGTCTCCGGTTGTATTGATTCAGACAAGGGAAAATGAGCCATCTTTCAAAGGATTTTGGTAAGTTTTGGTTGCAAAATAGATCAGATTCTGTTTATATGAAACTCATCATCATCTTCATAGGATGTGTGCATTTTTAAGTTGCTTCATACACATGTATTGAATTCTAGAGAGAATTCAGAAATGGAAAAGAGATTTGAAAATAATTTCTGTGTGTTATTCATTACAAAATGCTCATACAAAGTATTTATACAAACTCAAATCTGAACCAAATCAATCTAAACCGAATATTAAACCAAATGCTAAACCGATATTCTCATTACAAAATGCTCATACAAAGTATTTACACAAACTCAAATATGAACCAAATCAATCTAAACCGAATATTAAACCAAATGCTAAACCGATATTCTCTAATAACATTGGTGATGGTTTTAGTCTTATAATAATTACACAAGAAATCAAAGTACAGATTTGGGGTTTTGGTTTATTTATTGCCGGGTTATGGGTTTGGTTATTTTTCGGTTTTGGTTTTGTTGAAATTCGTTTTTTATAATAATAAAAAAATAATCTTTCCGTTTCAAAATATTTGACTTTTAAATTATTTTACATTTTTTTAAAAAAGAAAAAAAATCATATGTACCTTATATAATTAATATTCATTAAATTTTGAATATAAAAATAATGTTATTATTAATAATTTATTGGAATTTGGTAAAGATAAAATTAAAAATTATTATAAAAATATTTTGAAAATATAGAATGAAAAATATTTCAAAATATAAAAAATAACCTAAAAAGTCAAATATTTTAAAACTAAGGAAGTACTAGTTTCCTAAAAGTATTTTCCTTTTCTTTCCATTTATTCAATTATTTTTACGTTGCATTGAAGTCTGGTTCGATTTCATTAATTTAATTTTTAAATAATTATAATTAATTAGATTTTAGATTTAATTAATATTGGTATTTATTATTAGGTTTGGTGGGATTTAGTATTACGAATCTAAAACCATCACTTCAATAGCTTTCAAAATTCCAAATAAACACCACACTGCAGTGATTAAGCAGCAATCCCCATGTGATTATATTCCTAATTATTATTATTTTTAAAGCTTATCTATATCCATATTATCTTCTTATAACCATCTAATTGGAAAATATAACCGAATACATTGCATTATATTGACATTGAATTTATAATTTTCAAAAATTATTTCCAATTTCAAGTTGGATGAAACCCATTTCGCAACTTTCATTAAAAAAAAAAAAATTTGAAAATTTTTGTGAATAATAGCTGTAGCCTGTAGCACTAAATCTATATATATTAATAAAGGAGTTTAAAATATTGTGGTGAAGCCACCTAGGTATCCTACATGGAAGTTTCTCAAATTTTGATTGGTTATGAGAGATTATGATAGATATAATTGAGAAATTTTTAAAATATAAAAATGATTAGTCCAAAATAAAATTTTAAAAATTAAATAAAAAACTTTTAAAAATAAAGACATTATGAATACATTTATAAGAAAAATTAATAAAATATAAATATTTGTAATAAAATGCATCGTTATATTAAATTAAATTTATTTATTTATAAAATAAATATATTATTATAATCAATATATAACAAATATCTTTATTTATGTATAGATCATGGTAATTAAAATGATAATATTTTATGAAGAACATTAATAATTTTGGATTATATTTAACAATCTAATTAAATATTTAGTTGAATAAAAAGTTAAAAGAAATTAAATTGGACAATAAAAAAAAAACGTATCACTCCATTATCTTGGTGGTCATTATTTTTGGGTTCAAATAATGGCAATATATCATTTATCCGTTATAAAGAGAAAAATTTATAAATGTATTTAAATGATAAATAAATGAAAAATGTTATGAGATTAGCTGATATTAATAAATATTTTATTTTATAAGTTATTGAAAAGTCATCAGACCGTCATTTATAAATTTGCCCACCACTCATTACATTTATTATTTACATGACCATGGTCCATGACGCTTCCCGTTCCGAAGGCCATGATGATATTTCCAGTTCCGATGGCCATGACGATTCGATTTTCTTCCAGATTTATATCTCTCCCTCGATTAAAAAGCCTTTCACATCCTCCTTTCTCCACCCTCTTTCTCAAGAAACAGCTCACTCCCATTACACTGCTAATGCTCCAACAAATGGATTTTTGTTTCTCGGGAGAGTTTAAAGGCGTATGGTGAAATCACCTAGGATCCATATCATCATCTATGTGGCAAGTTCTTAAATTGTCATTGATCTATGATATTCCTCTTTATTTATATATACATATGTATGTATATTATGTGTGATTATATACATAATAGGCATACATATATTAAGGTGATCTATCATTAGTTTTATATATTATATCTCAAATTTGTTTGTTACCTTGATGAATTAATCTTGACAAAAATAACAAAATAAAACATCACATACAAATTTTTAAGTGATGGATATTAAAATGGAAAATATCAAAATAAAAAATATTGTAAAAAATAAAAAAAGTTTAAATAAAGAAAATTTTGGTTTTAATTTGTGTATATTATTGAGATTTTATTTTATTTGATATAATAAAAAATGATGGAGTAATTAAAAAAAGAAAAAGTTATTTATAATATAAATAATAGAAATATTAAAACAAACAAAAAATACCGTACATACTTACATGCTTATATTTATTATTTAATGAGTAAAAAAAGTAACACAAATGGTAATATGGCCAACTCGAACGCCGTATTCATTTATTCATTAGTATTTAATAACCACATTTATATTATTTTATCGAAGGAAAAACTTTACATCGCTCAACAAATATGAGAATTGTAACGTAAATTTATTATGTATGTAAATATGTGAAAGATAAAATTAGTAATTTATGACAATTAAATTAGGATTTTACTGAATATATATGTATGATACGTGGATGTGCGATTCATTTCGCTCACTCCAAAACCATTCTAAAAAGTAGTGTATTCCAATGTGCAACTATTTGTTCGCCGTCTAAAAGACTAAATCCCTTTTTTCGTCCTCTTATCTTCTTCATTGCTGGATCTTTCGAAACGGGTACGAAATTCTCTCTTCTTCTCTTTGTAGTTTTCATCCAGAGTTTCATTGTGCAAGTTTGTTTGCTTATGGGTTTAATAACTTATATCTTTTCTGTCCTGTCCCGGAGTTTCGTTGTGCTCTAATCAAAGGTATGGATCCCACGCAAGAGCCACGACCTACGGGCGGTTCATCCACTGAAGCATATATTGTGGATAGACAACCCATTTCAACTACCAATTCTTAGGCAACTTAGAATAAATGGGCAGTCACTTTCGAAACTATAAAGTCGTAACTGGCGGAGTTTTGGGTGAATCCATCTCTCACCAACCAATGATGTTTGATTGAAGAGAGATCACCGGCTATGCCCAGAGGGTATTCGTTCTCATTCTGGCTATGGCTTCCGCGAAGGAAAATCAAGTTCAACAGGTATGACGATACATGGAAGACTTCAGATTGACGGTGGGTGCGCTCTTGTGGCGAAGAGATGGTCTCTTTTATAAAAAAAGAGGTGTATTAGAATTTTGTTATTTTCTTCTTCAATAAATATTTAAATGTGTATTCCAGTGTGGTAATATAAAGGTGTTGCTGAATATCGTGGAAAGTGTGTAAACTCATCTGAAGGAGAATAATTACATGAAAAAACATAATCACAATGTATTATTATGGTTAGCTTTCTGTGGAAATTGTAAGCGATGATGATATCTGCACATACATGATTGATGGTGAGAATATTGCAGGTGAGATTGATTGCAGATATATTCTTCATGATTTCTGCAGTCAAGCTTGGAGATGTGGCGGTCTAGATAGATATGTGATTTGGATAGGTGGCTCACGCATCATATCATCGGATGATCCGGATGTGTTCTCTCTATATGTATATGTGTATATATATACATATGTTGTATGTAAATATATATTTATGTACATATGTATTTATATATGTTGTATTTTGTATATGTATATATATCTATCTGTATGTATAAACGTGTATATATATATGAATTATAAATTTCTACTTATTTTTTATTATTATTATTTAAATATTTTATAAAAATTAATCAATATATATAAATAAAAAGCTGACACATAAAATAAAAAAAATCATCTTTCACATCATTATCCATATAACCGTTTATTATTAAAACTTTCATATTATTAAAAAAAACGTGTTATTTATTAGTCTATGACCATGTTTACTGATCTTTTCTAATTAGTATTATTGTCTTTTCTATATTCCATATTATTTATTTTTACTTTCAAATTCGTCCATAATAACGTTGTTGTAAATTGATGTAACATTGCTATAATTTCTAATCACCATATTCATGACCCCACTAACGATGCTGTACTTTCTAATGTACCAAAAAATATCGAAATATATTACTTATTTTTAAAACGTCCATATTCTAATTTTTTTTAATTTTTTTTATGTGTGTATATATATATATGTGTTTATATTTGTGTATGAATATATATGTATAAATATATGTACATATGCATGCATGTATACATAGCTAGGTAGGTATTTTATATTTTCTATTTTCTATTTTATTTTTTTATTTGTGTGTATATATGTATATATACATATATGTATATATGTGTATAGGAATGTTTTTGTATGTATATATACTCGTATCGATGTATGTATATATGTATACATGTATGTGTATATATTAGTATTTATTTTATTTTTACTATTTTATTTTTTTATATTTATATATGTGTATATGAATGTATTTGTATGCATATATGTATACATGTATGTATTTAATTTTTATATTTTATATATAATTTTTTATTTTTATTTTTTCTATGTGTCAAATATATATGATAAAAATATAATAATGTATCAATCATATAAATGTATCAATTGGCCCCAGAAGGACTTCGGAAGATCTGTCTGACTCATCATAGACCGAACCATGTCTAACAGTGTTCGGTTCCTCCGTTCTGACACGCCGTTCCATTGTGGCGTTCCA